ACACATACATACACTCACACATACACATACATACATACATTCAGAGAGAGAGAGAGAGAGAGAGAGAGAGAGAGAGAGAGAGAGGAGCAGAGAGTCAAAAGATGAAAAGGAACAGAGATGGGGTACACAATGAATCGAGGATAATGAGGTTTTTAGGTGAATGTTCAAATAGGGTGTAACAGAAGCACAGAAGGAGAGTTCACCAGAAGTGTGCAGTCAAGGAAGGCAGCCTATGAACTGATCACATCAACTGCTTGAAAAAGAAAGACCCAGGCCTAAGAGGATGTGATACAACAGCGCAGGCATGGCTGACCAGTGAGCGTCAGCACAGAGTGACAGATGACCACCTTGAGTGGCCAAGTAATGTTACACAGGGCCTTGAAAATCGTGTTTTTAAACTATCAGGTGTACAGGAAGTCCAATGGGTAGCCACCAAGCCGATGCAAGCTAATAAGCGACACCATGAGAACTGCCTATAAGAAAACCTGCTCTGTCTCTCATTCTCAACTGTGAGTCTATAGTCATCAATACTGCTGCCAAAGCAGCTCCCTTGCCCTTTCAGGTCAGCAGCAGCACGAATCATGGACTTCCACATGGTTTCTTCTGACAGCATGGACCACGGACATCCACATGGCCTCCAGTATCAGCACGGGCTGTGGACCTCAGCATGGTCTCTGGTGGCAGTACAGACCAAAGACATCAATATGGATGTTGGCCACAGCAAGATCCATGGACACCATCATGGCTCTAGTACAGGCCACAGACATCAACATGGACTCGGATGACAACACAGGCCGCCACCGCCGCCGCCGCCGCCGCCGCCACCACCACCACCACCTCCCCAAAAGGAAACAGTCTAGACAAGAAACCATTAAAGAAAACTCTTAAAAATTGTGACAGGGGTCCTCAAGTATAGCTCTTTACCGTTGATAGCTCCACCGTTGGGGGTGGAGGTGGGGAAGAACTCAGTTTTCTTTAAGGGGCTGGCCTCTGAGAGTCTGACCATGCTCCAGTGAGTATATGGGCAACACAAATTGGACTTGGTATTTTATTTATTTATTTTTCTTTTCTGCAAGGGAAATCACAAGGGTTGGGGGTTATAAACCTGGGAAGTAAAAATGCTCGGGGTGCATTATGTGAAACTCCCAAATAATCAATAAAAAGATTATGTTAGAAAAAAAGAAAAAAGAAAAGCCACTCTAGTACATAGGTGGCTGGTGGGCTGGGAGAAGAGGTGTCCAGGGGAAAGCCTGAAGAGAAGAGGGAAGGGTAAGTGTCACTCTGCAGAAGGGGTGGTAGCAAGAGGGACAAGTCTTAGCATTTGGTGAGTTGACTATTTCAAGGTATAACCCCAGCTTTAGCTTCAATAATTCCACTCTTTTCTTTAGAAGAGAAAATAGAATACTGTCAGGTTACAAACAACCCACCTGAGCCAAAATGAGTAATGCTACACATAACCAAATTTCAAATACTTAAATCTTGTTTGGAGTTGTGGGCACTGTTTATCACGCACGTCCCGATGATGAACCGTCTGGCTAGGAGTATCTATCTTCTTTTACTGCATGAGACAGTGGGTCACTCACCTTTGCACTCCTGCCCCAGGCAGAGTGCTCAGCTCGTGAAGCTCAGCAAACATGAGTTTAGGGGAAATGAAGTGTAATCCGGGATGTGATTAGGTCAAACGTGTCAAATAAACCTTGTGAAGTGAGTGGGACAAAAATAGGTCTCCTCTGCCCCATCTGACTTAGGGAACAAATGACAGCAGAAAATTGAGCTAATTTTCTGAATGGAAAAATAAAGGAGGGTCAAAGCCAAAGAGCTGCTGGGAGAAATGCTTAAGAGCAGAGTTAATAGAGCCCCCCAGTGCCGAGAGCCGTGAGAGAATGAGAGGAAAATAGAGCCAGATCGGGAGCTGGGCTGAGGGAAGCTGGAGCGCAGCGGGGCTCAGGGAATAAGAAATTCCATAAATAGCCAGTCTCCACTCCAGAACAGAATTCACGGGTGCCCAGGACCAAGGGAAGTGGGTCACATGCCACTGTGATGATGGCTCCAGGTCAGGGGTCACACCTCTGGTAATACCATCAGCTATTTTCTTTAATCCCTGAGAATTATTTTCCAAAGAGGTGACCATCTTAATTTATCTGCCTTAGTTAGGGTTTCTACTGCTGTGGAGAGACACCATGACCACAGCAACTTTTATAAAGGAAAATATTTCATGGGACCTGGCTTACAGTGTCAGAGGTTTAGTCCATTATCATCATGGCAGGAAGCATGAGAGCATGCAGACAGGCATGATGCTGGGGAGGTAGCTGAGAAGTCTACATCTGGGCTGGCAGGCAGCAGGAAAAGCAAGGTCTCTTTTTCTGAAACCCCCAAGCCCACCCCCAGTGACACATTTCCTCCAACAAGGCCACACCAATACAACAAGGCCACATGATTTAATCCTTTCAAATAACGCCACTCCCTAAGAGCCTGTGGGGGCCGTTTTCATCCAAATGACCCCATTATCTGAAGTCAACTAACTCTCTAGTTCTTACCTAACACAGACCCCCAACAGGTAATAGATTCTGAGTGCATATGAAACAGATAATTTTTTTTATTTTTTAATTAGCATACACAGTGAAGTTTCATTATGGCGCTTTCAAACAAAACGTATTTCTGGTTGCCATTCCTCTGTGCTCTCTGCTCCCCACCCCTCCCCACTTTCAACTCTTCCACTGACTCCCTACCTCCCTTTCTGTCCTGTATGGCTTATCATCCTCCCTCTCTTCAACACCTCTTCCTTTTTCGTTTCTTTTCTAGCCCGGAGGCCTAGAGCCACACTTACACCCACAAATGCATACAAACTTCATGAGCAAGGGTTCGTGCATGAGAGACAACATGCGATGGGTTTTTTTTTTTTTCCCTTCTTTCTAGACTTCTGTGAATATGTCAGGGTTAGACGCACTCAGGTTACCTCCACTTTCCACTCCCCTACACACAGAAAAATTAATTTCTCTCGGTTGGAAAACTACACCCTTTCAGTGGAAAAATTGAAGTAATGCCGGGATCATGTTATCATTCAAGGCCCTGGCAACACTGGTTTTTTTTTTTTTTTTTGGGGGGGGGGGTTGTTCTGTTTTTCCATTTCTCCGTCCATATGACACAGATACCTATGCCTATAAGCACACACATTTTTTTACATTTTCATGAACTTGGAGGTCTGGAAGGACGGCTCAGCAGCTAAGCACAGTTGTCACCAACCGTAATCACCCTTCTCCAGGACCCACATGGTCGAAGGAGAGGACCAACTCGAGCAAGCTGTCCGCTGGCTGCCACACGCACACACCTTGGATTGTGTGCCTATTCACACGTATGAATAAATAAGTTCAAGGGTGGACGAGCATTGAAGTACCGAAGGACAGCACAGCCAGTCGACGCGCTTGCAACCAAGTCTGCTGATCTGAATTCTACCCCCAGAACCCACAAAATGGATGGAGAGAACCAATGTCATCAAGCTGTCCTCTGACCCACCAGCACGTGTGTACCTACACAAACATGCACATATCCATACACACACACACACACACACACACACACACACACACACACACACACACTAGAAAACATAACTACAATTTTAAATTTTCATGAAATTTGGCTGCTCTGACCTCCTGACTCTTCCTCTACATACCTATGATACCTGTTTCCTTTTACCCTTGACTGTAGAAGCTTTTTGGTCATATCCAGTGTATCTCACGCTCTTTCAACTTCTGGCAAAAAATCTTCCATTAGCACTCTACTTATTCTCCCTCTTATCTCATTACCTTCACTGTGACAATTCACATTTCTGACATCAAAAACACCCATCCATGGAGTGCACGTGACTGCCTCTCTCATGCCTTCATTTTAAATGGTGACTCTACACACCTAACTGTACTCCATGCTTTCGTTTTTTTTAGTTTCCTGCTCTGTCTGTCCAAGTTTCCACTGTTTCTTATGACTGACAAGCTTTTCCTTTCATTTAGAATTAGAACAGAAGTAAAGTATGATCAGTTGTTGTATGCCTGGGATGCAAAGTGATCAGGAAGCCATAAAGAGAATTTGCCAGACGCCCTGCCTTTTAGGGAGATGCACTTTCCAGGAGCTGTCCAGGGAACGCCCCCATCGCTACTGCTCCAACTCGCCTTGACACCTGCTGTCTAATTTGCATCCGGAAACCACACTCACGTGCCCAGTTTGGTACCAAGTAAGTCAATGCTTCCTTCTTCTGAAAAGTCTTTTTTTTTTTTTTTTCAAGCAGAGCTACATACAACCCAGGCTCACCTGGAACTCACCATGTACCTTGAATTTCTTACCCTCCTTGCCTCCACCTCCTGAGTGCCGAGGTTACAGATGTGCACCACAATGCCCAGTTTATGTGATGCTTGCATTTGAACCTAGGCAAGTGCTCTACCAACTGAGCTGTGGATCCAGCACCTGTACATCACATCTGCATCTATCGTGAGGTCATCAGATGTGCCAAAAGATACACAACCTACAGCCCCATGCCACTCCACATCCTCTCCTATTCCAAATGCTGCAGCCCTATGACCAACTTCCTCATTTTTCCCTGTATACGTTTACCCATACAAATAATACACTTGCTCAGTGCACTCATCTATTTCAGGCTAACCAGGAGTTATATTTTTTTAAGGAATCCACAATTGCAATGCAGTTATTAATAGAAATTGTCCTATAAGAGGTTTCCCAATATCATAGTTACTGTCTTCTTAGAACACAGGAGGAGTTTTGTTCCGTACATGGTTATACTCTTTGATCTCCGAATAGCCAGAGGTTTTAAACACTTAGAAGCCATAAGACTTGCAGCTTGATAACAGGGTCATTTGATTCCACAGAAGTTAACGAAATGGAGGACAAAGGGGGACTTAAAATCAACTTGTCTATTATTTTACTTATTCATCAGACTGGAAATATCTAAAGCCTGGGGTGTTCTAAGGGGAACCCACATGGGTACTTACATTGCCTTCCGTGGCCATAATTGAAGTCAGGCTGTCAGAAACAAAAGCTGGAAAAGAAAAAGTGTCAATTAAGTATAGGTTTATACTACTCATAAAAACCTATCCCTCTTTATGTAGAGGGAGAAGGTTTTGACGTTATGATGGGAAAACTTCACAATAAGGACAATTCATTAATTGATGTTTTTATCTCAACATCAGTAAATCAGTGTCTTAACATTGAATTCATAAAACACACCAGTTTTATCTAAACATTGTTAGTATTTTCGAGGCAATGGACATGACACATATGACGTATACACTTTGTTACATGTGGGGGTTTGGGGTTTTTGGAGACAGGAAAATATTTTGCTCTTAGTGAAGAACAATATGGACATGTGGGCAAGGTGGAATTATTTGACCACTGCTGTAATCAGGTCTCATAAAGGCAACCAACCCCCTCAGAAAGTCCCAGCTACAATACCAAGAGAAGCCCTTTTTTGTGCCTGCTTTGTAGTGTGTTGCGTGAAAAACTAGACACTCTGTGGCTTCAAGAAAAGCAAATGAAAGCAAAAGGAAGCCACTGGAACACCTGAAAGTAGATCACTTCTTAACCTGCCCAGTCACACCGGCTCAGATCCATTCCTATTGACTTGATCTCTCACGATACAGGTCCTCCAATTTTAAAGACTGACACCACTTCTTTTTGCAATCTGTATCTTTAATTCTTTAATTTGTTGTTAACAAGGTAATAGGTTTCATTTGGGTATGCTTATGCAAATATGCCATTATATCTTGTTTTTAAAATGCTTTACCAGGGCCCAGTCTCTGCCTCTCCAGCACTGGGGTTACAAGCACATGCCACCACACCTGGGACATGCATATAGGTTCTGAGGATTGAACTGGGGTCATCATATTTTTGTGGCAAGCATTTTTCTCTCTCCAGGCCTAGCTGCACTTATTTTTTTTCTACAGATACCATAGTTTCACTTTTCTTTATTTTTGAATAAAACTTCATTGTGTATATTCACCTTGCTTTGTTTATGCATTTATCTGTTATTAGTTACCTAACCTGGTTCCATGTCTTAGTTATCATGAATAAAACCACCATGAAGCATAGATATGCATATGTCTTTGATACACATACTACATGCCTGATGCAGGATGATATTACTTTTCAATGTCAAAAAATGTCATACTTACATAGATGTAAATGAAACATTTATTTATAAAAATACAAAAGAAACACAATAAAAAGGCCGACATTTTAAATGCATAATTTTCAATGTATTCACATCAGAAGTCACAAACTAGAGAAATTTTTTGTGTATTTACTACACACCAATTGTGAAGGCCTAGACTTAACTTTATAGGCTCAGGAATATGCCATTGAATGGATACAGGGCAGTATTCTCCTGCAGACATCCTGTCTGCTGTTTATACAGGAAAGGAAAGCTAACAGGATCCTGTCTGTGGTTTATGGCCCTTGGAGATATCTAGATAATCCTGCTGAGCAGTCCAGATAATCCTGTTCAGCAAGTTGTGGTTCCCCACCAAAAGTCTAGGCCCATAGTTTCAAAAAATCACCTTGCCCCTTCTACCCAATCCCAAGTTGCCAATTCTCAGCTTGTGGTTTTTCCCTATAAAAACCCTCTACACCTGGGCTCGTGGCCATCACCACATTTCTTTCCATCTGCCGTATGGTGGCCCAGGTTGAACCTGAATAAAAGGACCCTTGTGTGCTTGCGTCGGAAACTGGCTCCTTGGTGGTCTCTGGGGGTTTCGGAAAACGGGTACAACACAATAAGAAAGTAAAAAAAGTAACAAGAGTGAAGGAAAATTCAAACAACCTATCCTTAAACATCAGTGCTAAGATAAGCACAAAATAAAACGATACAATTCCACTTAAGATTAAGCAGTGAAAGCCAGCTTTGGAGGCTGGAAGAAGATTGCCATTACAGCTGTGCTGGAGGGTTGTTTGAGAAAACGGCCCTGATAATGGTAATTGTGTAACAACTGAGACCCGCTGAGCCCTTGCTGTGTGACGTTAAGTATCCTCAGCACTACAATACCTAATAGGAAAAGAGTTTTGCAATATATTGCTAATTAAAACATAGGTTGAAATAAATTTGGATTTTTGTTTGGTTGGTTTGGTTTTTGTTTTTCGAGTCAGGGTTTCTCTGTGTAGCCTTGGCTATCCTGGAACTCACTTTGTAGACCAGGCTGGCCTTGAACTCACAGAGATCCACCTGCCTCTGCCTCAGGCTCTTGAGGGCTGGGATTAAAGGAGTATGCCACCACCACCTGATGGCTTGAAATATATACAGAGTTATTACCAGCTGTACTTGAATGCCTGTGGTCCCAACACTCTGGAGGCTGAGGTAGAAAGATCACAGGCTATTTATAAAAATTTATTTATGAAAATGCAAAGGAAACACAATAAAAAGCCCAACATTTTAAGTGCATAACTTTCAATTTATTCCATCAAAAGTCACAAACTGGAGAAATTTTCTATGCATTTACTACACACTGATAAGAAAATAATAAAGTAACAAGAGTTAAGGAAAATTCAAACGGCCTACCCTTAATAGAAGTAAATTAGAAATTAAAGGCTTTGTAGTCAGATTGTGTCTTTATAATGAGTTTGTGTGTGTGTGTGTGTGTGTGTGTGTGTGTGTGTGTGTGTGTGTGTGTGTGTGATAATTCCATTATTTAATGCAAGAAAAATATAACTTTAGAGGAAGGAGAGATGGACCAGTGGTTAAGAATGCTTGCAGCTCTTTCAGAGGACCCAAGTTCGTTTCCCAACACCCATGTAGGGCAGATTCACAACTACCTGATCATCCAGCTCTAGGGAGTCTGAAGCCCTCCATGGCCTCTGCATGCAAGTACATACATCCGCCACCCACCACTCCACATGCAAATAAATAAAAATAAATCTTTAAAGATATACACTCAACTTTATACAGAGTCACCCAAACATCAATATACTGAGAGAAAATAAGTCTGAATATAGTTCCAGAAAAAAAAAAAAGTGCCTACAACGATTATCCATGGGAACTGGAATAGCCAATCATTTATTTTTATCACCTTCGTTTATTTTCTATAATAAGATTTTATGTGTAAAATAATAATGTTGGGAGAGACTCCTATGAATATTTTATTGACCAAGGCAATGTGTTTTTAGCATCCATTGATTGAGAAAATGCATCATAAGATAAAGATAGTTTGAAGTCAGCAGTACTTTTAGGTAAAGAGGAAAAAATAACGTAGAAGTTAAGAGTGGATATTTTGGACTGGGCTAAAATAGAAATAAATGCAGTTTGGCAACTTGCTGACTGTATGAAATCTTGGGTAAGTAGCTGATTTGAGGCCTCAGAACACCCATCTGTGAGACGCAGTTACATAATTCATATTTCTTTCTTGGGGCTGGATAAAAATTAAATGATGACAGGTCTTCATAAGGCTGAAGGCATGGCCTAACACATAATAAACTCTCATAAATCCTTGTATTGTAAAATATATCTATCACTTAAGGAAGAATGTATTAATGGTCAACTGTGTGAAGTGTTTTATAATATATACTACAACCCTTTGAAAGTTGTCCTTACTTATCCTGAAAGCTAATTGACCTCTTCCTTATCATAATACAGCAACCTACTTTCTTATGTTTCTTAAATGTGTGCTATGTACCAAACTCACTGGTAATTTTTCTGTGCTGGGCCATATAATTATCAGAGCTTCTTATTTTAAGAATACTATTATTACTCCCTTTTTAGATAAATAAATTAAGGCAACTGATGGGAAAAGATGCATCTGAAGTTGAATCTAGACTTCCTATTCATTCAAAATCAGTTCTCTCTCTCTCTCTCTCTCTCTCTCTCTCTCTCTCTCTCTCTCTCTCTCAATTGCTTGCTCTCCTTCCTTCCCTCCCTTTCCCTTCTAACATACAGGATTTCACTAAATTACTGGTTTGTCCTAAAACTCACTCTGTATTCCATGCTAGCCTTGATCCTGCCTCAGCCTCCTGAGTAGCTGGGATTACAAAATTGCATCACTAAACCCTACCACAAGTTCTATCCTGACCACTCCATGTTCCCCACAGGCATTGTTCATGATGCCACAGTGTTATAGCATCATTCTGTGGGTATTCCTGTACTCTAAGTTGATAAAGAGCCTATTAAATGCAATTGCCAAGACCCAGTCTTCTTTGTACCCTGCTGCTTAACCTGATGAAGGACACAGTCTAGAAGACAGTCTTCAAAGGTTTTCTTGAACTTATAGTCCACACCCTCAGAAGACTTCATTCCATTGGATTCTGAGACTGTTCTTCAATCAGATTTCTAGAAACAAAACAAGCCTAGAAATGGTGAGAGGGCATGGAAGACAAGGATGGAATCTCCATCCTCCTGCTCCTCCTGCTTCCTCTCAATGATGGCTTTTATGGAAGACACAGCATTAGAACTGCCTTAGACAATGAAGAATATATTGATCCTGCATATTTCTACTCCTTTCAACCCTCCTCACTGAAAGGATGCCTCTACCTGGGCATCATTCCCCACCCTCCCTACTCACACACTGACTCTTTCTCTTTGATACAGCAAGGCCATTCTAGTAGAAGACCTGGCCTGGGGACTTAAGAAAGGAGACCATTGTAGATGGAAATTTCTCTGGGTCCTGCTTGGCCCCGCAGTCAGGATGAATCTCTTATAACTTAACTCAACTCATTCCTATTAATCTATATATTGCCACGTGGCCATGGCAGTACTGCTCTGCTGGCATTTCATTGCTCCTTTGGTGGTGGCTGGCATCTCTCCCGACTTCGCCTTCCTTTTCTGTATCTCTGCTTCCATTTCCCACCTGACTGTAAGCTTTCTTGCCTTAGGCCAAAACAGCTTTATTTATTATCCAATGGGAGCCACACATATTCACAGCATACAGAAAGACATCCCACAGCACTTGCCCTTTTCTGTCTAATCAAAAAGGATTTTAACTTTAACATAGTAAAATTATATATAACAAAACAGTTATCAAGCAAGAATTACAGTTACAATATCTAGTCTATTTGTTT